GTGTGTGTGGGGGGGGTATACCAAGCCTGCAATTCTGCAGTGAGGCACCAGGTGGCAGTGGAGTCTAAGGCAATTGTGCCAGGGCCAGTAGAGGCCCACAGAGACAATTTGCTACGCAATGCAGGTTTGGTTGCCCTTCTTTTCTGATTTAAAATGTTCTTTGTTGAAATACACATATGGTTTTAACTAAACGCCAGTTACCTCTGTTTGAGGTTTTAAGATTAATGGAAAATAGAATCATTAAAGAGAAGTCACATGATGGTTTTTGATGGCAAGAATGTTGAATTAAACTTGACTTGAAGTGACCTATCTCAGTTTGCCTGATCCCCTTTCCCTGCTTGGAGACTTCAAGAGGTTAAAGAGCCTCAACTTAGCCCTGGGGTCCAACAGAGCTCCAATGTCCACCATTGCAACCTTACCTTTGTCAGTATCCAGCACTGTGAATCTCAGTCTCCTCATATACAAAACGGGGCTTAACCCCACTTAGTTCCCAGGGATTTTTGAGGGTTGAAAGAGAGTATAACTAGGTATGGTGGCATGCACCTATAATCCCAGCTACTCCGGAAGCTGAGGCAGGAGGTTCAAGGCTTGCCTGGGCTACAGAGGGACTTCAAAGCCAGCTTGGACAACTTATCCAGATTGTGTCTTAAAAAAAGACTTTCTACAGAGTGAGTTCCAGGCAGCTGGAGCTACAGGGAGACCCTGTCTCAAAAAGACTGAAAAAAAAAAAAAAAGACTTAAAAAATTCTTTTTGTTTCTAACTTTTGAGACAGGGTCTCCCTGTAGCCCCAGATGGCCTGGAACTCACTATGGAGACCAGGCTGGCCTCCATCTCACATAGATCCTCCTACCTCTGCCACCTGACTGCTGGGATTAAAGGCGTGAACTACCATGTCCAGCTATTACAGAGCTCCACAACTGGTCACACACAGACATTGTGAATTGCCCAAACGTAAGTGGCACATCTACAATGCAACCTCTACACCTAAGGCTCACAGAACATAGAACAGGGGTAAAGAGGACACTAATGAATCTCTCAATTCTCATCAATGAAACTCCCTCAGGCAACAGGGGGCCAGGAACACAAAAGGTCACAAAGGGCCAAAGCATAGAGAGTAAGAGCCTGTAGGGTGTGGGGTCCTTAGACAGGACTCCTATATTAAAATCCCCACACCCAGGGCTCAGGGACCATTGTGGAAGAGGGGCAGAAAGATTGTAAGAGCCAGGGAGGAGGTGCAGGACCATATGGAAATATGAGAGTCCTACAAGCTCCTGGGACCTTGTTCATGTGAACCTACAGCTATGGTGTCAGCATACACAAGATCTATGCAAACTAAGTAGACAAAAACCCAGCACAGAACTGTGGAAATGGACAGCAGACCCCAATCTTAGTCAAAGAATTATTGGCAGCTGATTACTGCTGGGTGAGGAAGAGCTGATCTTCTTAACGGGAGGGACTTTAGGCTGCATAGATGCCAGTGGATGAACTTGCACTAAAGGACATCTGGGACACTAACTTGACATGCTAGGCCTTAACACAAATGACAGAATGTATGAATTCCAGTGGGGGGCTATGGGAGGGCACCGGTGGGGAGGGGTATAAAGGCTATTAAGGTTGATCAAGATACTCTGCATGAAATACACAAAAATTCAATTAAAAATTTACAAAAAAATCTTTTTATTACATTTAGAGTGTGTGTGTGTGTGTGTGCGTGTGTGTGTGTGTGTGTGCATTACAACATGCGTGTGGTCAGAGGACAACCTGTGGGAGCTGGTTCTCTCCTTCTTTCTACCATGTGGGAACCAAGATTGAAAGCTCGTTAGATTTGACAGCAAGTACATTTAAATAAAACTTTTTAGAGGCACTGGAGAGCTCTCTCAGTGGAAGAGTCCTTATCCAACACGCTTGAGGATCTAGGTTCAATCCCTAGCACAAAGAGAAACGTGTGGTCAGAGGACAACCTGTGGGAGCTGGTTCTCTCCTTCTTTCTACCATGTGGGAACCAAGATTGAAAGCTCGTTAGATTTGACAGCAAGTACATTTAAATAAAACTTTTTAGAGGCACTGGAGAGCTCTCTCAGTGGAAGAGTCCTTATCCAACACGCTTGAGGATCTAGGTTCAATCCCTAGCACAAAGAGAAAAAGAGACAGTGTGTCTGAAGTCCATACAAAGGGCTTGATAAATCATGGCTAACCACTGCAATTCTAATAGCAATAATTGCAGTAAAATTATGCTGTTTTTCATGGATGAGATGGACACCTCCGGGCATAAAAAGTAACTTAGCTATGACATAAAACAAAATCCTTTTCTAAGGGAACAGATTTACTTTTTAAAAACTAATTCACAAACATCTCTGGCTCCAGAGGAGATTGTCATAAACAAGGCTGGGAAGGTGGGCAGGGACGGCAGGGCCCCTTGGCTCTTCTCTGTCATGAAGGGTGTATAGCGGCTTCCCCATCCCACCTCTTTTACCCCAATGTGCATCCAAATGCCCCCTGTCTTCCCCTAAGCACACATGAGGCAGGTCCTGATAGCTCGGAGGGCAGTCAGGAAATGAACAGTGCCGTGAGGGTAAGTCTGAGACAGGACCTTCTGCTCCATGGGCCTGCCACACACAGGAGAGAGAGAGAGAGAAAGAGAGAGAGAGAGAGAGAGAGTGGGAGAGAGAGAGAGAGAGAGAGAGAGAGAGAGAGAGAGAGAGAGAGAGGATCAAATCTGTACACCTAGTTTGGGTCTCGAGACTCACCAGGAGGATGGGGCTAGCACCTCCTGCAAGAAAAGAGCTAGATGAGCCTCCTCGGATGGACAGTCTCTGCCCAGCAAGCTGATTTCCAGACTTGGAAATTCTCCTGGGGAGAGATTCCTTCCACTGCCAAGGTCAAGGCCGTTTCCTCCCTTTCTCTCAGAGAACTTGAACCACTTGACCTCACAGAAGCTGCGTTTCCAGAGGGGACCCAGCTCATTGAGTGCCTGCAGCTGAGCCAGTGGGGTTTACTCCCCAGGGACAGAGCAAGCGTAGGTGCAGGGGCCTCTGCTTAGCACTGCCTAGGTCGTTCACTCTCTCCGGCTTCCTCCCCTCTCCTCCTCAGGACCCAGGATTTTTTTTTTTTAATTGACACAGGGTCTCACATAGCCCAGCCTGAAACTCACTGAGATCTGAGTGTTGGGTTTACAGGTGTCCACCACCACACTTTGCTCATCGGCCCAGGTTTTAGTCTATGTACTTAGCCTGCCTCTAGCTCTCAGAATTGTGCTTTGAAGGAATGCTAGCAGCCAGACAGGATGTTCTGAGTTCTGGGCCCTAAGGGACCACCTGCCCAGGGGGAGGGGCCTCATTCTCTCCACAACAGCTGGTTTCCAGACTGGTTC